ATTTATTGCTGCTATAAATAGCAGTCCTTATTCTCCTTGTAAACCACACTGAGTTCATTTAATACAATCGACTCTATCTCCTCCTATTTACTCTGACTTCTCTCTAGTTATTCCCGCAATAACCCCTCGGATAAGATACTGTCACGCCCCGGACCTAACCGGACACGTCAACAATCCGCCGTACAGTACGAATAGTCAACCGCAGTCCAACACATCCATACTATACAAGGCGTCTGGAATATCATTCACACATAGTACATCCATAAACAAACATAATGTAAAATATTCATTCATGGCAGCGGAAACATTCAATACGAGTATTCATGCCACACCTTGGCAAACATGGGCATACAAGCCCCCAAATAAATATTTAAAAGTATTATCCATGAGCATTAATTAAATAGTTTGTAAAAATGGAAACGGAGGAAGCACGAACCACGTCTCCCCTTCCTTGGATCCTCCCGAGAGCAACGTCGTTGGTAGCAACCTTCAAGTCCTACCTGAAACTGTGAGGTGGCCTCCCCCGTGAAGGGGAGGTCAGTACTTGGAAGCATTTGACAAGTACAATGACAACTATACTAAGTATAATCAAAGTTTCAATTTCCAAGACCCTCAATCTAAGATGTTATTCATTTATAATTAACTCATGTTCTCCATGCTAGAGCTCGGCTCATAGTCATATCAATTTGTGCTAGAGCTCGGCTCATAGTCACCCTACGTTTGCTAGAGCTCGGCTCATAGTCATACTAATTTGTGCTAGAGCTCGGCTCATAGTCACCCTACGTTTGCTAGAGCTCGGCTCATAGTCATACTAATTTGTGCTAGAGCTCGGCTCATAGTCACCCTACGTTTGCTAGAGCTCGGCTCATAGTCATACTACCACGTGCTAGAGCTCGGCTCATAGTCACGTCACTAATCCCTAAACCACTTCTTAGTCTAGGTTCCATCCATTTCGAGTAACCCTTAAGGCCTACTCCAAAAGTAACTTGAGTTCATAAAGTCCACCTTAAACATATCCTTTAAGGTTACTCAACTCCAAAATCTTGGGATTTGCTCCCAAAAACTATTGAACTAACATTCCCGACTAGTATTCCTATACTAGTCATTTAATCTTAATAAACCAATGCAAATTCATAATAATTTGAATATTTCAACTTAATTCCACATTCAAGTATACTTGGCTCTAATATCAAAATATCACTTTTATCCTTCCATGACTTCCTTACATGAGGTAAAAGTATATTTATCACAATTTAATTTATACTTTACACACTATTATACCATTTTATTCATAACACATAATCATACACAATTTATTCATAAATTTGTATATTATGCATTTTTGCTTATAAACAATAATAATCTCATTTAGGCATTTTTATTAATAATAAATCATGCCAAACACATATAATTCATTTAGGTAATCTTATGAAATTAACCCAATAATTATAAGCAATATAGTCGGTCATCCTCACCTTAAGTCAGCTTAAGCGCGTTCTACGCTCCCCGATTGAACTTTGACTAATTCCGGTGAACTTTGACCAACTCCGGCGAAGCTCAAAAATACTTTAATCAAGTTCCTAACAAAGTTTTAACATCATAAAACCTTAATCAATACAAATAACCTCTAAAAGGTTATTTCCGGTAAACCGGTCGTTTTGGCTTCTATGTCCGTGTTTGGACATACAATCACCTTACAACCCAACTTCCTACATATGTAAATATGTAGAACCATAACAAGGATTATTCATATGCTATATAAGTCATATGATGGTTAAAGGAATGAAGAAAACTCATTATGAGGTCATTACCTTAATACACCTCACTTTTCCTCCTTTTTCTTTCTTTGAACCTTCTCCTTGAGCTTGAGCTTGCCCTTGGCTATGGAGGATGATATTTTGCTGGGAGGTTTTTCTCTTGCTTGAGATGTGTTGGCCGAATGAATGATGGTGGTGAGGGGGGTGGATAGCTTTTGTCTTGTTTGGACCAATGAGTGAGGGAAATGGGGTCATAGGTGTACCTTTGATGCTCATCACCTCACCCCTCTCCTTCCAAGTCAACCAGCCCCCATGTTTGTCTACTCTAGCACATAAAAACGTGGGGTGGCCCCCACTCATGTGGGAGGTCATCCCCTTGTGTCCCAAAGTGTACAATCGGCCCCGAAAGTTGTATTTTTCGGACTGTTTTAAATACATTTTATTTCGTCGGGTCAAATAAAATATATATGTGCTTCCAATCATTATGACCCTCATAATGAATATACATTCCCCAAATTAAATTTATAAACCTCCGAAATTCATTTCGGGCTGTTATCTGTTAAATTACCGATACTAGTATTTGGGCCACTTTTGATCAATCGGTCCACATTATGTCAATTCTTTGGACCAAATAAATTACACATCACCATATAAATATTATCTAGACCAAGATGAATAAAATATATGGTCTCGGGAATATCGGGCGGCCCCTGCTCCCGGTGTGGGCCCCGCACGCAATTTGCTATTCACGCGAATAAAAGTAGTAAAATTCACAACTTCGCATACTCATTAATCATTCCACAAGGTTCAATACATTACTCACTTACAAGTAAATACATTTGGGGACGGTGTTACAGATACCCCCCGGGTAGACTATCCATCATATATATATATATATATATATATATATATATATATATATAGGTTTTGGTTCAAATAAGAACACGATCTTATGAGAGAAATGAGAACGAATCTGGACCGTTAGATTTGCAATAAGTGAAACTCAGTGTGCATTAGATGGAACTGTAATGTGCATTAGGTGAAATTAAAATGTGCAACACAAAGAGTATGATATACTGACATTATGTGAAGCTGAATTGTGCATCATGTGAATTTGAAATGTGCACTACATGAAACTAAAATGTGCAGAATAAAAAGTACGATGTGGTGTTATTTTTGTACCATTTATTCCGCACAATTCTGTTTCACCTAATGCACATGTGAGTTTAAATTTTTATTCTGCACATTTTAATATCATATAATGCACATTTCAGTTTCACCAAATGCACAATTCAGTTTCACATAATTCAATCCAACGGTCCAGATTCGTTCTCATTTCTCTCCTAAGATCCATTCTTACCGGAACCGCTCCCTATATATATATATATATATATATATATATATATATTTGAGTGTCTTCCCGAAATATAAACTGCTCAGTTAACTTCAAGAAATTATTTGAGTGTCTTCCCGATTGAATTTTTAGCTGAAATTTGGTATGGATAAACTAGACTTCATGAAGAACATGCTCAAAATATTTCATCAAACAATTCCACCGGGAAGTGCCCGAAATGCCCTCGGCCGGACGGCGGTTCCCGTCAAGCCGGCTGGACTTGATGAGAAACAGCTCAAAAAATTTCATCAAAAAATTCCACCGGGAATGGCCTCTGATGGTCTTGGCCGGACGGTCCCTCCCGTCCCTCCTGAGGGAGCTGATCTTTTCTATATATATATATACACACACATATATATATATATAATTGAATTTTTTTTTATAAAATAGAAATTACCAAAAGAAAGTGAATTAGTAGATAAGGAGCATATAAGAGATTACGATGTTCAATATTAGACTCTTTATATTTAATAGAATAGACTGGATTCTCAATAAAAGTACATTGCTAATCAACTAATAGAAATCACATTTTTCAACTAAAATAACAAAAACGTCCCCGATTGTACAGTATGCACCCTACACTCGGGTGTGCGATATACGATCTCCCTCCATAGACTCGATTCTCAAATACTATTGTAATTCTTCCTAAGTCCCTTAAAATTTCCCAACTTTGTTTTTATGGTTGTCCTACTAACTTTGTAATTTTTCCTTTTCAGTAAATAATTTGTGGTTTAGATAATTATCTCTCCTTTGCACAAATCTCAACCACACAATTTTTAATTTATTAATACCCGTGACGGTCAAACTTTGCAAAGTTTTAAGGGATAGAGGAAGTAGAATAACAAAAATTGTGTGGTGGAGATTTGTGCAGACGAGAGAGAAATAAACAGAGTCACAAGTTCATTGCCTTAACATGAAAGTGAGAAAACTTTTTGGGCCAAATAAAAAAGAAAGGTTAACAAAGTCCAGTGGGACGTACAGATGGAGTATAAGATAGCGCTCCCAATACGTATTTTTCCTGGATATGTCACTGAGTATGTGTGTATATAAATGAGAAATTTTAAACGGGTCCGGATCCTTAACGGGTCGGAATCAAATGTATCGTACTCGGCCCGTTTATTAAAAATACTAACGAGTCTGAATCCTGGTCCGGGTAAACGGAATAAAATATAGACCCGTACGCGCTAAAAACAACCGGGCGCGGGTCGGGTGCGGGTCTAGACCCTACCCATTGACAAGCCTAAAAGTGAAAGATGGTAACTTTGATCTATTAATTTATCTAATATATTTATGTGAAATTTAATCAATTTATACTTTTATTATAATATTTTTAACAAAGAATATTTTAATATCATCAATATTACCGTATATAAATATATAATCGGTTAAAGTTTAATATCATTGACTTGAAAAGCCAACTTTGATTAAACAGAAAGGAACCCAGAGTAATATTTAGGCAAAAACCCCATAATTGTATCATTTTCTTGGATATATAAAATGCAAGTGGTTAACACAATAAAAAACTTAGAGATCTCATGGAATTAATGAAATTATAGACACTCTAATAGTCTAATATTGCCTAAGGTTACGTAGTGTGTTAAAGTCTCGCACTGGAAGGTCAACCTGTTAGGGGGTGTAACTCATGTGTTAATATAGCACTTTGCTACTTCACAATTTTCCGGTGTGGGACTTTATCATCCCCTCCTTACGACCAGACGCTTTGTCTGGATCGTGCAGTCATTCATTTTTTTCGTCGGTTCGTCATTGTCATTTTTTATAATCGTGTCATCAGTTTTCATATGGGGGCTGATAGAAATCCTACGTATGCATGCCATGCATACGCCCATACATGCGGGTCAAACTGGTCAGCCGTAATTATCCTATGCGGCTGCCATTAATTATTTAATATTTCATTATATAAAATGTTGTAGTTTATCATCTTTACAGTTTGTTGTATGAGCCGCAAGTCTCTCTTTATTTAACCACTTACGTAGCTAGTAGACTCTCACAAGATGTATACTACTGTGAAGAGATAAGCATTGTAAATGTATATAAATATTGAAGGAATGCAAAGCAGCCTCACGGCGAATTATACATTCCATCTTGGTATCAGACTCTATTTCCTTTCCTTCGGGCCTGTCTATCAATGGCTGCCCCTACCAAATCTCCTGCCTTCCACCCCGCACTCGCCATTAGCTCGATCAAGAACCTTATTCCCCTTACACTTGATACGGAAAAAGTGCAGTATTCCTCTTGGGCTGAATTATTTAAAATCACAGCCCGTGCGTATGATGTCCTTGACCACCTGTCTCCGGCGGCAACACCGCCTCCCGATTCTGCCACTCTCTCTGACGAAGACCGTCTCCGCCAAGCCGAAGAAAAAGCTTTGTGGAACCGTATTGATGCCGTTGTCCTACAATGGATCTACGGAACCATATCTCACGACCTATTGCATACCATCCTCAAACCCGACTCCACCGCCTTCACCGCTTGGACTCGTTTGAAAGATTTGTTTCATGACAACAAAAATTCGCGAGCCGTCCATCTGGAGGATCTCTTTTCTCATACCCGATTGGCAAATTTTCCTTCCATCTCCGCCTACTGCCAGGAGCTTCATACCATTGCCACTCAACTTGCCAACGTCGACGCCGAGGTTAATGACAAACGTCTAATCTTACGTTTACTCAACGGCCTCACTACTCCCTATGCCTCTGTAGCTTCCTTCATCCAGCAACTCGATCCCCTACCCACGTTCGAGAAAGCTCGGTCCATGCTTTTACTGGAAGAAACCCGCCAGGCACACCAAACGACGGACTCTTTCTCTTCTCCGTCTGCTTCCGCTCTCGTGTCAACAACTTCCATCCGCTCAGACTCGGCCTCCACTTCTGGAACACGTGGTGGACGCGGCAGTCGCACTAGTTCCAACAGGGGCAAGGGTCGCGGCAGAACCTCTGGAGCACGTCCACATGAGACCTCGCCATGGCCCCAGACTCCTCCACCCTGGTCTTTCCCTTCTTGGGCTCCATGGATGCAACCCTACTGGTCACCCCCTCCGTGCCCCTACCCTACTGCTCCTAGCCATTCTCCTACTGCCCGTCCTGCATCTACAACAGCCGGGATCCTTGGCCCACGTCCTCATGCATTTACCGTTGGTCATAGTCCTTTCCCAGCGACACAGTCTTATGTTCCCACAGATATCCAATCTGCCATGCATACCATGACCCTCAACCCTCCCGATGACAGTTGGTACATGGATACCGGGGCCACCTCTCATATGACTTCGGATAAAGGTACTCTCTCGTCTTTTATTAATACCGGTTCTAAAGGATCTATCATAGTCGGCAATGGTTCTTCCATTCCAGTTTCGGGTCATGGTCATTCTATTTTACCCCCACCTTGCCCCCCTCTTCAACTACGTCATGTCTTATATACTCCTCATATTATCAAAAATTTAATTTCGGTACGTCAATTCACTATTGATAATCATGTCTCACTAGAATTTGACCCATTTGGTTTTTCTGTGAAGGATCTCAGTACCAGAACTCCAATCCTGAGGTGTAATAGTCAAGGTGCATTATACCCGTTGCGTGCTCTCTGTCCCTCCCCGTCACCATCCAGTTTCGCTGGCATATCATCCACCCTATGGCATAATCGTCTTGGTCATCCCGGCCTTCCTGTTTTTCGTAGGCTTAGCACAAATAAACTTATTGATTGTAATAAAACATTTGATGCTATTTGTCAATCTTGTCAAATGGGGAAACATAATAAATTGCCCTTTTCCCCCTCTTTCTCTTACACTCATGCCCCGTTTGATATTATACACAGTGACTTGTGGACTTCTCCTGTTTTAAGTTCCACAGGTCACCGTTATTATATTTTGTTCCTTGATGACTTTACCAATTTTCTTTGGATATATCCTCTCCATCATAAATCGGATGCTTACTCTAAATTTGTACAATTTTTTAAATTTGTACAAAATCAATTCGGCAAGTCTGTTAAGACCTTACAATGTGACAATGGTCGTGAATATAACAACTCTTTATTTCACAATTTTTGTTCCACACATGGGATATCTTTCCGTTTTTCCTGCCCCTATACCTCCCCACAAAATGGTAAAGCCGAACGCAAAATTCGTTCAATTAATAATATTACCCGCACCCTCCTACTACATGCGTCTGTCCCACCCACTCTCTGGCCTCACGCCGTCTTAATGGCCACTTATCTACACAATATCCTCCCATGCAAATCTCTCTCATATATTTCTCCTACCCTCATGTTATATCATAAACAACCGACCTATTCCCACTTACGAATTTTCGGTTGTCTATGTTACCCTCATATTCCCACTCCTCATAAACTAGCCGCCCGCACCACACCCAGCGTGTTTCTCGGCTATCCATCTCAACACAAAGGATACAAGTGTCTTGACATAAATACTCACCGAATATTCATCTCCCGTCACGTCACGTTTGACGAATCAAATTTTCCTTTTCAAAATTCAACCACATCACCCCCTACGTATGATTTCCTTACTGACCAACCTTCTCCATATTTGTTATCTCAAATATTCCCTACTGCCACCCATCCCCATGTGTCTTCCGTATCTCCCCCACCCAATAATCCTCCAGCCACGTCATTTCATGACTCCTCCTCCTCCCAGCCGAGTCAACCTCCTCCCTCGCCAAGTGCACATCACCCCCCCACTAATACACACCACATGCTCACCCGTAGCAAAACTGGGACATTTCGGCCAAAGCCAATTTACAACCTCAACTCCATACAAACCCCCTCCGTCATATCCTCCCCCATTCCAACATCACATGTCCAGGCCCTCCTTGACCCCAATTGGAAGTCGGCTATGATTTCTGAATTTACGGCCCTTATTAATAATAAGACGTGGGAGTTGGTTCCCCGTCCTCCTAATGCAAATGTGATTCGTTGTATGTGGTTGTTTAAACATAAATACAGGTCCAATGGGAGTCTTGAACGTCATAAAGCTAGGTTGGTTGTCAACGGTAAATCTCAACGCCCCGGTATTGATTGTGATGACACTTTCAGTCCGGTGGTCAAACCGGCTACAATCCGCACTGTCCTTAGCATAGCTTTATCTCATTCTTGGCCTCTCCACCAACTCGACGTCAACAACGCATTTCTACATGGTTATCTTGGTGAAACCGTATACATGCACCAACCTCCCGGCTTTAAAGATGACACCCGCCCCAATCATGTTTGTCTTTTAAAGAAATCCCTATATGGCTTAAAACAAGCTCCCCGTGCATGGTATCACCGGTTTGCCTCACATGTTGCTACACTGGGTTTCCAACACAGTCAGGTTGATCATTCCCTCTTCATTTATCACTCTGAAGGTGCTACTGCATACTTGCTTCTATACGTCGACGATATCGTCCTGACTGCTTCTTCGCCTACCTTACTTAAGGAGATTATTTCTAAACTTGCTGCTGAGTTCTCAATTAAGGATCTGGGACCCTTATCCTATTTTCTTGGCATCTCGGTCTCTCACACTCCTGGCAGCATCTTCTTATCTCAGGCTAAGTATGCTGCGGAAATTCTAACTAGAGCCGGCATGCACTCATGTAACCCCTCCAACACTCCAGTTGACACCAAAGCCAAATTACGCGCGGATATTGGCTCACCAGTTCCCGACCCTACGCTATACCGCAGCTTAGCCGGAGCCTTGCAATATCTTACGTTCACCCGACCGGATCTTTCTTATGCAGTTCAACAAGTATGCTTGTACATGCACGACCCTAGGACACCACATCTTGACGCCATTAAGCGGATCCTCCGGTACGTCAAAGGTACATTGCATCACGGCCTTCACCTCCGCTCCTCGGCCACAAATCCATTGCTAGCATACACTGATGCCGACTGGGGCGGCTGCCCGGACACTCGCCGGTCAACATCTGGGTATTGCATTTTCATGGGAGATAATTTAATCTCTTGGTCATCCAAACGTCAAGCTATCATATCTCGGTCAAGTGCCGAAGCTGAATACCGTGGGGTCGCAAATGCGGTAGCCGAAACATGTTGGCTCCGAAATCTACTACTCGAACTTCGGCATCCCCTCACCCATGCATCCCTCATATATTGTGACAATGTCAGTGCCATATACATGTCTCACAACCCGGTTCAACATCAACGGACAAAGCATATTGAAATGGACATTCATTTCGTCCGAGAACGGGTAGCACTTGGTCATGTTCGGGTTTTACATGTCCCATCTCGTTACCAATATGCTGATATCTTCACCAAAGGACTTCCCCGGATTTTATTTGATGATTTTCGATCCAGTTTGAACGTATGCTTACCCCCCGATCAAACTGCAGGGGCGTGATAGAAATCCTACGTATGCATGCCATGCATACGCCCATACATGCGGGTCAAACTGGTCAGCCGTAATTATCCTATGCGGCTGCCATTAATTATTTAATATTTCATTATATAAAATGTTGTAGTTTATCATCTTTACAGTTTGTTGTATGAGCCGCAAGTCTCTCTTTATTTAACCACTTACGTAGCTAGTAGACTCTCACAAGATGTATACTACTGTGAAGAGATAAGCATTGTAAATGTATATAAATATTGAAGGAATGCAAAGCAGCCTCACGGCGAATTATACATTCCATCTGGGGCCCACACCATGGATCAATTTGGCTCTGATACCATGTTAAGACTCAGGGTTCCATCCTAAAAAGTCAACCTGTTAGAGGGAATAACACATGTGTTAATATAGCACTTTGCTACTTCACAATTTTCCGGTGTGAGACTTTAATATAGTTAACATTAAACAAGTAGTGCTGAAGCCGCCAGTTTATACGCCATGTTACGTTCTTCCGATCCAGACAATTGTTGTAGTGTGATGTCCATATATGACTTAAAATCAAAGAAAAATTAAGAGGTTATTTATTTTGATGCTATTTAAGTATATTATTAGTATATTGATTGATGTAGTATCTCTCTGTCGATATATAAGTATGGAGTGGATCTGAATTCAATTCAACAACCAGAAAGTACAACTAAAGAGGCCAAGACGTTTGGAACTGAGGTGGAAAGCCACCATACCCATTCACAATAGCTTTTCCCATCTCTTGAGTTTCATACATATTTGTTCCCTGCAGCCACAACAACAATATTATACTTCGTATATGTATGTGTATTATACGGAGTATTACTTTTACGTTTAACTTGTTCAGTCGTATTACAAATTTCCCCATTTTACTAACTACTCATGTAACTAAAAAAATAACTTCACTTTTTAATATTCCTTTCCTACTTTCTTTTTGTTTCATTTTTCTGCATTATTTGTTAATAATACCCTTCAAAGTTTAATTTCAATTTTGTACACATTCAAGTGGAGTAATGTATTACTAGTATGATATTCTGATCTCTAAGAGAGTAGAGTTTGGATCAAATAAAAAAAATTAAAGTGTAAAATAAGAATTATCTCAACCGTCTAAAAAGTCAATCAAATGTACCATAGACCTTATATGATGCACCTTATCAATATTTACGAAAATGCCAACACGTCTTAATTTTGGAAAAGTGAATCATATAATGTTTATTTGAAAAGTGCATTAGATAAAGTTATTGTTCGATCGTCAGATTGACAGTTTGGACGGATGCGATTAATTATTATTTTACACGTAGGAAACTTAAGAATCATACTTTAAATGCCATGCATCTAACAATATTTCAAGATTGTTATTAGATATAATAAATGTAGCAAAAACTGAGAGATACCTTCACATTTGTCATTGTAAGTAGAACAAATTTGTTACATTATTAAGTTAAGCTAATAAAACTTTACAAAACCTTGCTTTAAATCTTCAATAATTTTTTACTCGTTTACTTTATTGGGATTAAGCGTTAATAAAAACATAGCTACTTAGTGTATTATGACGTAATTGTTTATGCTTTAAATGAAATTAATGGGGAAGAAGCTGCACTACCTGATGTATAATGTCCATTGCATCCATATCTGATGTGTTGAAGTCATAGAATAAACTTGCTGCTGAGAGTTTCATGGAAAGGAACTAATATTTATAGAAAAAACATAAGAGCTAAATTAGTACATACCTAATAAAAACTATACAGAAGGGGTTGAAATATATTAATTGAACCAATTCAAATATTTGTATTAAAAATAACATATCTTATTCACAAGGAATTGAAAAAAATAAAATTAACATAACACACATCAATTTGATTCTGCAGTGATCTTATGTAGTTGATTATTACGTCCAGCATTACGGCCATTCCCATAGTCTGCAACGATATATCAGGATAAATTTAAAAAGAAAAAGACAGATTCAGAATATGAAATTTTTATACTGATTAAACTTTCAAGAGAAGATGTAAATAACTTTGATAGGGGTGTTATAATTACCTTATAACAGCCAGGAACCAAACCTTGCAAAGATTTGAGCTTTTCATTTATTTTTTCTCTTCTTTGCTACAAGGCCAAAAAAACAATGCATGAGTATAAATACAACCATCTTTAGATCACATCCTATACAACAAACTGAACTTTTTTCAACAATATACTTTGCTTATCCAAAGCTAGAGCCTAGATGAATAAATAAATAATTAGTGTCTCAAAGTCTTATATAGTGTTTTATTGTTTTAAAAATATCCGGTGTGGAACAATAGCATTGTGCGTATTTCAAAGTAAGTGTTTCAACTTTCAAGTACTCTTATTGATGCTAGTAAAAGTGTTAGCTTTGCTTGTGTAGCTAGATACGGTATTTTTAAAGCGCTAGACTAAGTGTTTATATAAATTAAAACTCTAAATTAAAAGCGCTACTATAGTGTTGATCACGCAATCGAGCCACACAATCATATACACAAGTGTTATACACATAAGTGCATATATATCGCCGTATGCACACATTGGTCCAAATAAACAACCAAATGTCCTCGCCATGAAAAATATAGAACGCATCTTAATTAATTATGCAACAACTAGATGAGAGTATCAGTCATATGCATTTTAGGATGTTTTACTTAGACTCATTTCAATTTCAAATCAGATCAGACTTACACAGATCAGACCAGATCAGACAAGAGTTGAACATATCAGACTAGACTTCAAAAGTAGTAAAATACACATAGACCAGACATCGACCAGACCCGACCAGATCAATTCCGATAAAACCTGACCAAAAATAAATAAATCAGATCAAACTAGAAAACTTCAATCCAACTAAAAACATTTTAATCACTTTCGGGGGACCTATCAAATAGTAATTGAATTATAATGCGTTGTTCTTTTTTATCATAACAGCTCTAGAATTGGTTAACTAGGATTAGTTAAATAGAACTGGTATGCTTTTTTACGAAAAAAAATCATATCAGTTCCAGTTAGCTATTTAAAATAATGTTACAACACTTTTTTCAATATAAATACAGTCATACTAACTATCATTGTAAAATAAGTACATATAATTATACTCAATCAAAGTTAATTCAACTTGATAATTATACGGAGTAGTATATAATTATAAATATTACTCCGTGATATTTATACGGAGTATATACGAAGTACTCCGAGATTTGACTCTTACATTCCACTTTTGGGGCTATATTATTGGACTTTGCATTGAAAGAAGAATGAGGTGTAAAGTCAAATGATTTTTGTGTTAACAGAGTGCACACATTATGATTCTGGAAAATGGAGTACAGAGTTCGATATTACCAAAAAAAATGGAGTGCAAAGTCAAATTATCCCTTTTTTAAATTTGAAATTAAATTTGTAAAATATTGCAACAATGTAATGATCTATAAATAACAGGTAGACATTAAAATATCTTTCAATGTACATTTGGCATGAAGAATAAAATAGCTAGTGGGTATTGTGTGTTGGGAAGTTGTGCAAAGGAAAGATAAGTGTCTAAGAATGTGTAAGAAATGTAGTTCACCACAATTTCTTGCCAATAAGGAAAATGAAAGATTATTTTGGGATGAACGGGACTGAAAATCTGAAATGCACATAAACGAAAGAAGATTAACAGTCCTGAAGCTTTCTTAATTAGTTTGGGAAAATAGGAGATGAATACGAAGGAAAAGAAATCTTTGGTGTTGCTTGTCAAATTCTAAGTTATTGACCAAAAAAGATTCTTCTGGAGATGAATTTGAACCAGTAAAATCAAAATTTGAGTTTGATCGGAAGATGTCCGCCGAGGGGTTCAAGTCTTCCATCTACAATTTGACGGATAATAAAATGGAAAAGGGAAAAATATCAAATAAGTCACCGTACTATGTTGAAAAAGTCAATTAGGCCCTCGTACTTTAGAAACACTCGATTAAGTCCTCAAATTATTAAAAAACGTTCAATTAAGCTCTTTTCGTCGGTAAGTAACCGGTTAAACAGCGACGATGTGGTTGAACCCCAGCAACAGCGGCTGCCGGGAAACGGCTTACATTTAACCGGGAAACCGGTTACTTACCGACCAAAAGGGCTTAATTGAAGGTTTTTTAATAGTTTGAGGACTTAATTGAGTGTTTTTGTAAAATACGAGTCTAATCGACTTTTTCGGCATAATACGGGGGCTTATTTGATAGTTTTTCCAATGGAAAAATAATTTCAAGATGCAATCTAGGAAGCACGGAAACGTCTATTTGGTCCCTGTTTCCGTCCCGGAAACGTTTCGGAAACGCGAAACGGCCGGAAACGCCCGGAAACGGCTGGGAAACTCTGCGAAACGTTTCTGATGATCTGGGCTTCTGGGCCGGGGTTGGGAAACGTTTCGGAAACGTTAATTGAGGTGGGCTGGGGCGTTTCCGGATGATTTTACAAAAAAAAAGGTCGGTCAATAATTTTATTAAAAACCTGCTGCTTTCTTTCGCTGCGAGTCTGCGCGCCTAAGCGACTTGTTATCCTCTCGGCGTATCCACAGTACCACTCGATACCAACTGTAGAACGCTAGGTGACGAAGGGAGACGCAGAGTGTGGAAGGTGCGCTGGAGTGCTGGACTTGGTGACTGCTTCGCTGGAAGGGATACTTGGTCAAGGAAGAGAGACGGTCACTGCTTTGCTTCTTCGCTGGAAGGAAATCTTTATTTAAGGAGATTCTTGTTTGAGTAAGTGCTTCCTATTTATTACTCCAATGGATGCTAGAGCAAAATTAGATGAAGAAATTGCTAGGATGTTTTTTACAGGAGGATTGCCATTTAATCTTGCTAGGAATCCATATTATGTGAGGGCGTTTTCTTTTGCTGCCAATCACAATTTAGGAGGTTATGTCCCACCGGGTTACAATAAATTGAGGACTACTTTACTTCAACAAGAGAAGGCAAATGTTGAAAGATTATTACAACCACTCAAAGCTACTTGGCCAGAAAGAGGAGTGACAATTGCGACTGATGGTTGGAGTGATCCTCAAAGAAGACCTATAATTAATTTTATGGCAACTTCTGGAAGTGGTCCCATGTTTCTTAAAGCAGTGAACTGTATGGGTGAATTTAAATCAAAAGAATTCATTGCTAACTTGATGAAAGAAGTAATTGATGAGATAGGTCATCAAAATGTGGTGCAGGTGATCACTGATAATGCTTCCAATTGCAAGGGTGCTGGAGAAATTATTGAAGGTATGTATCCTCACATTTATTGGACACCTTGTGTAGTGCATACTTTAAATCTGGCCTTAAAGAATATTTGTGCGGCAAGGAATGTGGAGAGCAACACAGAGGTTTATGATGAATGTCATTGGATCACTGAGATTCATGGTGATGCTATTCACATAAAGAATTTCATCATGAATCATACTATGATGCTATCCATGTTCAACAAATTTGTGTCCCTTAAATTACTTTCTGTGGCGGACACCCGTTTTGCATCTATAATCGTGATGCTTAAGAGGTTTAAGCTTATAAGACGTGGTCTTGAGGCTATGGTATTGAGTGATGAGTGGGCATCATACCGTGAGGATGATCAAGGAAAAGCAAGGTTTGTTAGAGAGAAGGTTTTAAATGAGTATTGGTGGGATCAAGTTGATTACATTCTTGCTTTCTCAGATCCTATCTACAGTATGATTCGAGCATGTGATACTGATAGAGCGTGTCTTCATTTGGTGTATGAGATGTGGGATTCCATGATTGAGAAAGTCAAAATTGAAATTTATAAGCATGAAGAAAAGTCTCTCAGTGAAGATAGTGCTTTTTTTAAAGTGGTATATGATATTCTTGTTGCCCGTTGGGGGAAAAGTTCAACACCGCTTCACTGTCTAGCTCATTCCTTAAACCCAAGGTATGTCATACTTTAATATCATTATTAGTTAGCCATTATATTTTATTTAATATTTAGTTGCCATTATATTTTATTTAATATTTAGTTAGCCATTATATTTTATTTAATATTTAATTAGCCATTATATTTTATTTGATTTAATTATTAAAGTCTAGGTTGTATTATTTTTATAATAGGTTTTATAGTGAAGTTTGGCTTGATGCGGATCGTGCTAGGGTTCCTCCTCATAGAGATGGTGAGATCTCTCAAGAGAGAATGAAATGCTTCCGAAGGCTCTTTCCAAGTGGTGATGATTATGACAAGGTTTTGGATGAATTTGCTTCTTTTTCACTAAAGATGGGACCATTTGCAGATATTACATCTCTTTCAAAGAGGGGAAATACGGATCCTAAGAGTTGGTGGGCTAACTTTGGTGCGCAAACACCACTCCTTCAGTCGCTTGCTTTTAGAGTTCTTGGTCAACCTACGTCTTCATCTTCTTGTGAAAGAAATTGGAGTACTTACTCCTTTATCCATTCACTTAGGCGGAACAAGCTAACTCCTAAGCGTGCAGAAGATTTGGTGTTTGTGCACAACAACCTTCGCCTCTTGTCAAGGAGTTCTGAGCAATACGCGGATGACAAGACTAAGATGTGGGATGTTGGAGGAGATGAGTTTGGCAACTTGGAAGAAATGGGCTATTTAGCGTTTGCTAATTTATCCTTAGATGAGCCAGAATTGGAGAGTGTGTTCATCAATGAATGAAACATTTACTTTTGTCATTTTATTTATTATGCACGTAGAATGGATTATATTGAGGACATGTTTTGTTTATTTATTTGATATTTGTTGGACGTAAACATTACCTATATTAGTAATATTTTATTTTTTTGTTCGGCGTTTCCTTGCCGTACCCGTATCTAGATATTTTGACATAAGAGTTTCCCCGTCCCCGTTTCCGTCCCCGTTTCCGTTTCCGTTTCCGTCCCGGTGCTACTTAGGATGCAATGGACGAAAAAAGGAAAGAAGGCAATACAAGTGAAAGAAAAGAAAAGTTTTTTTTTTTACTTTTTTACTTGATATTTTTATTTTTTTTCATATTTACTTGTTTCTAAATTTTTACTCCTCCGTCCCTAAAAGGATTGCCCAAGTTTGAACAACACGTAGAATAATAAAGTAAAAACAGTGTGGTAAAGATTTGTGCAGAGGAGAGAGAAATAATAGGAACCACAAATTGATTGACTAAAAGAGAAAGTGGCAAAAATTTTGGAACAACCAGAAAAGGAAAGTTGACAAAGTTATAAGAGGGGAGAAAGGAGTATATTTTTAGAGTTTATGTATTCGAAATTTTCATGTTCTTTCTGCGACAAAAAATGTTGCGAATTAGGTAGATCTTGAAAAGGTGGTCTGAATCATTTTCTAGTACGTCTGTTTAGAGTACCTTTGTACTCTCATTTTCGACAATCATTTTGGGTGACGCTCAAATCAGTGATGCCGCACATTCCTAATGTGTTTGGGCAAATTGTGTACACAAATTATAAATTGTTTGTGTTTATAGCTATTTTGGCGTAAAATTTTGTCCTTCTTCAAACGAATTGTGTATGTACACAAACAATTAGGGGAGTTTGTGTACTAGTTCTGTGTATAACAAAAAGTTTTCGTTTTTCAATTGCTAATGAAGGTGTTTATCTAATCTTAGGACATTGTTCTTCTCAATCTGTTTATGCGGGTACCAATGACTCGCTGCCCCAGCCCTCATCAACGGGTGAAATACATAAATGGTACCTTAACTATTTATATAATTCCGCTTTGATATTTTACCTCTTAAATGAATCAAATCTGTTAAATGTCCCACACCGGAAAAGTTTGGATGAACGAAGTGCTATATTAACACATGGGCTACTCCTCCTAACAGGTTGACCTTTTAGGATTGAACCCCGTGTCTTAACATGGTATCAGAGCCAAATCGATCTATGGTGTGGGGCCCCTTATGAAAAATGATGACACGATAAAAAAAGTTGACGAACCAATGAAAAAAAGAATGACGACACGATCCAGACGAAGTGTCTGGTCGTGAGGAGGGGTGTTAAATGTCCCACACCGGAAATTTGAGAAGCACTAGAGTGCTATATTAAGCTTTGGGCTACTCCTCCTAACAGGTTGACCTTTTAGGATGGAACCCCGTGTCTTAACATGGTATCAGAGCCAAATCGATCCATGGTGTGGGACCCCTTATGAATCGTGATGACACGATTATAAAAAAAATGACAATTATGGCCAGATGAAAAAAAACAGGCCGATGAAAAAAAAATGAATGATGACACGATCCAGACGAAGTGTCTAGTCGTGAGGAGGGGTGTTAAATGTCCCACACCGGAAAAGTTTGGATGAACGAAGTGCTATATTAACACATGGGCTACTCCTCCTAACAGGTTGACCTTTTAGGATGGAACCCCGTGTCTTAACAAAATCAGTACCATAACCATATACTTCGTAAAAATGTTTCAATTGACAATATTACTCAAATTTCCGATCAAAAATCATATGTGGTAGCCGGAATTCTGTGCGAAAAGTCCATTTCACCTTACTTTTGTCCATGTTATCACTCTATGATGCAATTAAGACATGAAATTTTGATCGCCGTGTAGGATTTTTTGGCTGCAAGTTTGAATAATATTGTTAATCGAGAATTTTGTGTATTATGATACTGATTTGATTATTAAAAAATTAAGGTACCTAAACGCTAACAATACTACGGAGTAATAGTTAAGGTACCATTTATGCACCGAACCCCATCCACTCGCCCTTCAAGAATGGCTCGCATCTCCCTCACCGTCCTTGGCGATTCACCATTCTTAGATCAAACTTACAGAAATGGCTTCGATCACACTTCTCCTATATATATCGATACTATATATCTTTAATTATAGAAATGGCTTTAGTTATACTGAATACCACTGATTAAATCAATTTAATTATATTAATTACATTAATTTTTGTATGTGTATTTAAATATGCTCTAATTAACGCTATTTCAATTTTAATTTTGAGTGTTCAGGTGAATACTTTGGAACATACATAGCATTCATTAGTGGCTAGAAGGCTATAGACTCCTATAGTAGGTCCCGACCCACTTCAAATTTGGAAAAAACTTTGTTTTACGTGTAAAAATAGTTTACTAAAAATTATCTCAAAATTTTTTCTTTAGCTGCTCAGCTTGTAATATGCTCCTGGGTAAGCCATTGATTCCCCCTCCTGTATGGCCTAGCGTTATCTATCTATGTACAAACTAACTATGTACTGAGTATGGAAGAACTTACCCTTTCAGCCAAGCTATGGCTATCAGTAGCTTGCCCTCTTTTTGCTCTTACATGAACAACTTCTTTAGGCTTCCCATCACCTCCCTTTTCATTGCTCCTCCTCCTCTTCCTACGGCCATAACTCTGCCACATAAATGAAATCAATTTATCATTTGACCTTGCTATTTTGTTATCCAGTTATAATTAAGTCAAATATTTTCACAGTAAACTTCGTCCATAACTCTGCCACAAATATTAATTCTCAAACTTTATTATTATGCTAGTATAATTCCGTATTCTTTACTTAAATCTTACCGATTTATACGACGTAAGGAATTCAATTGTAAAACTTGAGTAATTGACCTCTATTGTTAAATAAGTGCAACGGTCAACATTTCACATTTGTCGAGACACAATTTTGACCATTAATATATATAATTCTCTATTAGTAAAAAAATAGATTTTGAAAATTTACAATGAGATAAATTTAAAATTATTTTTTTCAAAAATATATACATTAACAAATAAAACGCAGTCAAAGTAAAACACGTGAATAGTATAAAATTCAACATGTTGTACTTATTTAAGAATATATGTAGTATCAACTATCCCAATTTACACACAAACAAATAATAGAACCTAGTTTGGAAAAAATTGAAAATAATACGGAAAATTCGAATATTCTAATGAATTATTAGTCTATATAACAAAAGTGATACATAACATATCTCATTTTGCCATTTAATTAATCAAATACATATATCGAAATATCATATAAATGACCCCATTTCGATTGGTTTTAATTGATATCAGTTTTTTAGTTGTTAAATGATAGGATTCCTAGTTACGAAGTAATTTCATATTGTTTTCGTTAAATATTGAAATAATTATGTATTACCAAAAATTATTCTTAAAAATACATATTTTTTTTATGAGTGATAATTGTTGTTAATTATCTAAAGGTACTTTCATAACTTTCATAACATTTATGACAAAACAAATACGTTTAATAATAATAACTATATCAACCACAACAACAACAACAATAATATTTTTATTACTATTATTATAAAAACAATAATAGTAATAATAAGCGCACAAATATCAATCACAACACTAGAATAGTAATAACAAGAATCAAGAAAATAGTGAAACAACATTAGGCTCTTTAAAAAATAATTTTGAATCTGAAACAGTGGGAAAGTAATGAACAAGAGTAAGACATAGCACAGTAATTTTGAATAGGATTCATTTAATAAGGAAAATTTTCTAAATTGGAGCAAAAATGTTTTGAATTTCCAAAATAGTTGTCATGTTTTTATTCCCTAAATAGGAATAATATAATATTTTCGAATCTAAAAAAATACTATCTAGTTTGAAGTCCGGTAATTCCACAACATGATAATAATTACTTATATTTTGGAAATAAAAATATGACAATCTTATATGAAATTTATAAACGCTTTTACTTCTACTTAGAACAATTTCCTCATTTAGTATAACTAAATAAATCATAGTTTGAGAAAAAAACATAATTAATCCTATTCGTAACACTCAGTATGTTTTGCTCTTCAGAAATTGCTTGATATAAGATTAAAACATACAAAAAGTGCAAAAAATAGGACTACTTATATTTGATTTCTCAAATATGACTTATTTAGTTTTATTGAAAAATACCTTACTTAAAATAATGATAATCATCTTTTATTTTGAGCCACTCCTACTAGGAGTACTAGCTCAAATCATGCATCAAAAGAAGAGAGTGTGTGCTTCTCATTATTTTGATGGCATCACTAATTCACATTTACAAGCTCATAAAACGTAATTAAGAAACCAACCTTAATTGGATAGGGTGGATTATTAGTGATGAAAACCGCCTCGGATTCTTGGATGGAATTAACATTGATTGCGCATCCATGACTTGTACCTCCTGCTGCTGCTGATTCATCATCCAATGAAAAGAAGAGGGGAGATGGCTGATCACCAATTGGGATTTGGATTCCACTGTTGAAGCACTGAAAAGGAGCCCTTTGGTGGTTAGGGCTGTTCATTTCTTCAAACCCTGGGCTGCTGAAACTCATCATTCCATGTTCATTCAAGTTATGGAGAGCTACTCCAATATTGAACTCTCCCATGGAAATAGTTAATCAAAGGCTTTTGTTGTGAATCTAGTTTATAGTATGTTTATATATATAGTGCATGTGTCAGAAAATTATACGAGTATTTATTTAATTATATAGATAGTACTCCGTATAATGTATGTGTGATAATGTGATAAGAGAGGTTATGGGATTTGAAAGAGAATGTAATGACTACAAGATTGATTTAGGTTGGTGCGTTCTCAATGACGTGATAGGGGAAAAGGTACTTGTATTAAATTTGCATATGCATCGAACTTGTTATTTTTTTAAAACATGTATACTTTTCTGCTAGTAATCCTCGAACAAACAACCTTCTCCTTTAGAATTGTGTCGGGTAAATTGTAAGTGTGCATTTTTTTTGTAAATGTGCATTTTAGTTCCTATATTAATATTACATCCGTCCCTCATCCTAATTAAAATGAAGGTGCAATTTTAGAAATATATAAACCTGATTGATATTGAATTGACAAATGAATTGACAAAGTGAGAATAAACTAAAAATCGTTTAAACTTTAAACCAGCACAAACCTCTTCAAATTAGTTATGGAAAAATCTTATAATTAATGGGACCGAACGAAAAGGAATGATGGGAGAAGTTGTTCCCAAATTATTATTTCCATGTTAGGATCATGGGGGTTTTGCTAGGTGTACACAAAATGTGTACACCTTTTTTGTACACTTGTCCGTCTCAGACAGACAACTTGTCTGCCTGGGAAAGATAAATGTACAAAAAAGTGTACACATTTTATGTACATCAAGCATTTTTCTAGGATCATCAACCAACCTTCCATATGCCTCCACATTCCTTCCAAGTTCATCCTCTAACTAGTGTCACATACATGTCCCACGGAGCTGTTTTTGGCGTGGGTACCTGGCGGGAGTACATGTAAGTACACAAAACTTTAAAACAGCATTGCAAACACATCTATAGAATTAGTTCAATACGTACTGTTTTATACTTTTATTTGTAGAAGGTTCGCCAAATTGATTTTTCTTGTTCAATGACAATCAACTTTGATCAATAATATTTTTTAATACAAAATTTTTAGAACATGAATATTATATCAAAATGTTCCTCATTCAAAATACTTCCATAAAAGTACAAAACTTATAAATCATATACAAATATATAAATTAAAATCGTTGTCTAAAGTTTATCATCATTGACTAAGAAAAGTTAATATGCCGAAGTTTTTCAGGACGGAGATACTAGGTAGTACTAGTATAATGGCATGGAGTCCCCTAGGGGAGGGGAGGGAAGTGAGTGATTTGTGTGTGTTTGGTTGAAGGAAATAGGGGGAAGGAGGGAAGGGGGGGGAGTCGAAGGATTCCAAAATCCTACACTTCCTCCCATTCTAAACCCCCTAAATCGAGGTATTTCGGAGGAAACGTGTTGATAATCATAAGCTATCAATCTCCTACGTGAATGGACAAAACGTTATAATATAAAAAGGTAAAACCATAAAAAAAAATTAAAAAATTAAAAAAGTAAAAAAAAAAAAAATATGACTCGTGACCTTAGGAGTAATATTTACAATAGTTAGAGATGGATCTATTTTTTAAGTAAGCTATCAAATAAAGGTAAATTGGGAATATATTTTTAGTAAACCTTTCCTCCTATTTCCTTCAACCAAACACATTCTTTTTATCAAAATCCTTCCTTTCCTTCCCTCCTTGACTCTCCCTTTCCCTCCCCTCCTTTGAACCAAACAAGGCCTTACGGTACCTCACTAATAAATTAGGATAATATACGTACAATACAAATTTGATTTTGCATCCCATTTTACTATCCAAATTGGACTTTGCACCCGTTTTTAAAAAAAAAAAAAAGAAAATTGTTTTTGCACCCCAGCCCTGTACGAAAAGACAAAAATGTCCCTCGATTAAGTATATGTTGAAGAACAACAGAATTGTTAATAGATGGCCATATTTGTCTTTTCATACGAGGTTGGGGTGCAAAAACAATTTTTTAAAAATGGGGTACAAAGTTTTGTTTGAAAAAAAAATAACGTACAAAATCAAATTCCACCTACATTTAATTGTTCCAAGCCATTATCTCATCATTTATTGATATTTAAATTGTTCAATTGCAATACTAATCGGTCCACTAAGATAATTAGGTCTGGTACTTTGGGAGTAATTTGAGGGTATATCGCAGAATATATCTTTTAACAATTGCTTTGTGGGTCATTTTTCTCATATTAATTTAGGGATGTGATTTTATATACGGTGATGTGATAGTATTCCATTGTTTTGCTTTGTGGGTCATTTTTTCTCATATCAAGGATGTGATTTTCTATACGGATATGATAGTAGTTTGGGAAAGGCCGGGGGCAAAAACCCCTTCCTTCAAGTTGTTACCGGAGGGTATCTGATCTAAGCCCTTAAACTATTTTTTTGTGCAAAAAGGTTCAAAATTAATGGAAGGAGGGCAATCACCCCCTTACTAACGGTGAAGGAGTTAACCGAAGTTAATTCTTTGCTTATATTACCGTATGTAGCAGTGTAGCACAATTTTAATCTGAAAGCATTTTTGATATTTTTTTTCTTTTGATTTCAGCTTGTGGTCTATTAAAGATGTAAATATAGAATATTGTGGTAACATGTTGAATTTTACAATATTCACATGCTCTACTTTAACTACGTTTTATTTATTAATGTATTAATAAATTATTGTTTTTAAAAATATTTTTAAATATGTCTCATTTTAAATTTTCATTTTTTTGTTTTTTATTAATAGAGAATTGTACTTGTTCCATCGCTGAATTAATTTTCAAATTTTCTTTTTCGTCAATCTCAAAATATTTTTTTGCAAAGAATTTGTGGTTCATAACATGTTTTACACATTGTCATATGTTTCTCTCTCTTTTCAGTACAATCTCCACTGCACCACTAATATATACTTCATCCGTCCTTGAATTATCTTCCAAAGTTGTTTTTGCACGGGAATGAAGAAAGGGAAAATTGTATGGTAGAGCGTTGTACCGAAGAGAGAAAAATGTGTAAGAATGTATAAAACATGTTGTGAACCACAAATTTAAATTATTTTGAGATGGATGAAAAGGGATATTTGAAAATTAATTCAGTAACGGAGCGAGTATAATTCTCTATTAATAAAGAACAAAAAATGAAAATTTATAATGAGACTAATTTAAAAATATTTTAAAAAATGATAATTTATAAATACATTAATAAATATAGCGTAGGTGTACACTCCGTAAGACCGTAAAACTTAATACTCCGTCAAACTTAATACTCCGTAAAAGTAGAGCATGTGAATATCGCAAAATTCAACATGTAGCATTTATTTAAAAAGATAGAAAATATGTCCTCATTTTAAGACCAAGTTGAAATTAAAAGACAAATTATCAGAAATACTTTCATATTAAAGTTGTGCTACATACGGTCATACTAACCCAAGAAACAACTTACGTTAAATGTTTCACCGTTAGTAGGGGGTTATTGCCCTCCTTGCACCAGTTTTGAAGTTTTTTGCACAACAAAATAGTTCAAGGGCTTAGATGCCCTTTGGTGCAAACTTCAAGGGGGGGTTTTGCCCCTTTTCCTTGGTAGTTTCCATTGTTTTTAATGCATGGTATTCTTAATGGTATTTTGTAGTTTGTGTACTTATGCAAAAGTTAAAGATATTACTACCTCCGTTTCACTATGTTTGGGACAAAAGGATGTGACACAACTTTTAAGAAACGGTGGAATTGTGTGGTTGATATTGAATTGATAAAATGTGAATTAAGTAAAAATGAATTGTAATCACTCAAATATTATCAAATATGGTATGAGACAAACATAATGGGACGGACGAAAAAGGTAAAACGGGACAAATTTAGGGGGACGGAGGGAGTAATAGTCAAAATTGTGCCTTAAGAAATACTTGGTACCTAGTATGTGAAAATCAAATAGTTACAACTGAAAAAAATGGTAGCATAGTGTTATTTGTGTTTCATTTAGTACTCTGACAATATTATATCGAATAAATATTAATCGGAGGACTAAAATGAAATGGGACATACCTAGACATTACCACTATTGTGAAGAAATTAAATTGTTTGTTCAGTATGATAAGTATCTCATATCGTACTGAAAGTTTTTTATATCTGAACTTTTTTATAAATCAACAATAGTATGTACAATAAGTGATTAAGTTGGATGTACGCATATAACTTTTTTAGAAATGCATTCAGTATTCCTAGCTCGCTTCTCCCCATCCCTGTAAATATACTTGTGAATATATATAATCGAATTTTATTAGAGCATTTTTAAAAATGAATACGATTATACGATCAACGGATCAAGTATGTGGTCTTATACTCCCTCCGCCCCAAAATTAACTTCTCACTTTCCTTTGCAGGTAGTTCTGAAATTAATTTCTTACTTCCTTATTTAGCAAATTATCTACATCAAAACAATACAATACAATGTCAAACAGTGTCGAAACAGTAAAATATTTAGGAAGTTGTTTAGGAAGTTATTTCCTTAATATGTGTGAAATCCAAGTGGGAAGTTTGTTTCGGGATGGAGTATATGTTTTGGATCTTGGAGTACAAAATTATTTAGGAAGTTTGTTTAAAGTCCTAGCTATTTGCATGATGGGTCCACTTTCAAATCGAGAAAGCAGGACCGTAGTTGAGCTTTGATCAAGTTTGGCTTTAAAGTAAGAATGCATATATGGCTTGGCATCAAGTGCTTTGGAAATAGTGAAATACGGTGACAATGTAAGACTAGTGTGTGAGTGAATACATCCATACGTGTATATAGCATGAGTCCGGTAACAATGATACTCCCTCCGTCCCTAATTTACCTCCCCTTTTGACCCAGCACGGAGATTAAGATAGTGGGTTTTGTGTGGTGGAGAGTTGTGCAGAGAGAAATGTGTAAGAATTATTGTGAATCACAAATCCTTTGCCAAAAAGGGAAAGAGGAGATAATTTAGGGACGGACCAAAAAGGGAAGTTTGAAGATAATTTAGGGACGGAGGGAGTATTTCATTTGCGAATCTATGAACCATCTACTATTGGGTTATCTTAATAGAATTATGCACATTCCACCACATGATATCTGAGTAATAAAAATCAAAACGTTTTGAAATTCCAAAATAGGACTATCATGTATTTTATTTTTTGAATAGGAGTAATCTGATAAGTGTGGAAAAAAAATGTCATGTTTTGGAATGTCAAAACACGGGTCTCAAATTTAGTGCATACGTTCATTC